TCCGAGGCCCCGATGCCGTGGGAGGCTGCTCCCGGCTTTGAACGGAAGCGGAATTATTTCAAGCATTTGAGGCAGCTCCTGCTCCGCTCTCCCGACTCTCCCGCTCCTTCCCTCCCTCCCTCCTCCCGCCCTCCCGGCGTCCGCCGGGGACGGCCCGCTCCCCTCATCACGGCTCCCTCCGCCGGCCCCCTCCTCAGCCCGCCGCCCGGTCAAATCCCCCGTCTCCCCTCAGCCCAACGGCCTCCCCCTCCTCAGCCCAATGGGCGCCCCTACCTGCCCCCCTCAGGCGACTCAACCGTGGGCCGAGGACCTCGCTTCGCTTGCCCGGAAGGGCCGCAGCCTCAGGGTGCTATGAAGGCCACACTCACCTCCCAGCTGAGGGACACGCAGCTTTTTGTGGGCCTGCTGTACCGTACACTGAGCGTCGGGGCAATGCCTCATCCCATGGTCCATCCACCCTTACCGGCTTGCCCTGGAGCCAGGCACTAACTCATGCTGGTTAGTCAAATGCACCAATGTATGTGACCACACACATGACAATGCTAGTTAACAGGAATGCCAAAAGTTTAAACACGGGTATAGAAGGGCCGGACCAGGGCTCAGACAGCTCAAGTCATCCACTACTACCGTAAGTGAAGGCACTGGAAGGATGGAAGCTGCTGGCACATGTTGAAGCTTACTACATACATTTCAGTCTTGAGCCAAAGAAGCTCTTCTGCCTGAAGGTGTTGGCTGTATCTGTGGTCATAGGCGGTGGGCATCGTTGCATCCACTTCTACAAAAGAAACCAGCTGTTGTAATCAGACCAGTATAAAAGCCAGTGGTAAAGAAAGGTGCCTAGCATGATAGATTGCCTATACCAATGCTGCTTTGATTTGCAGATGAGTAGCTTAGGAGAGAAGTATGTTTAAGATATAGATAATTTGCTGTGACTGGTTCAGGAGGCGTGCAGGACTGGAACAGCATTAATGTCATCTGGATACACTACTTTAACTTACCACTTAATCACTTGATTAACAATTCAGGCAAAAAGCCACACACACTTCATGCAAATATCTAGCTATCCATTAGGCATAATAAGTGAAATGAAATTACCATGAGGATATTTCTAAATCGGCTAATAATTGTTGTGTTTTTACAAGCTGGTAACATTGGTTAGCTGATGAGGGGTAGAATTCAATGCGTATTTGTTGTATGCAGTTAGAATATGCCCTGGAGAAAAATGTTATTCGTCCATACTGCCATCAGTTAAAAGCAGGAATGAGCCCAAGCCTTTAGCACAATCTCTCCTTTACTTAGGTTTGCTCTCTGGCTCCTAGCGCCAATTGTGTCTCAGAGCTGTTTGTCTACAGAACAGTCCAAATTTCACACATTATTCTCTTTTTACAGAAGTGCTACTCACACAGCATATGGATTAGGAGATGAACTGTTTTGGAACATTTTTAAGAACGTAATAAAATATTATTTCAAAAGAAGGAGAAATAAACACATCAAGCCCTTTTTTTGCATGTGTGTGAATCTGTGGCATTTACAAACAGAGCAATGACCCCACTAAATCTCCATTTGGATCCAAATGACAATACACAGATGTCAATATAGGATTTTGTGGGCGCAGCAGAAGAGACAGCATTTTGGCAAGTACGCTTGCCTTTGTACCAGTATGGTTGTGTTTAAGACAGGAAGAACAAGCCACATATCTCACAAACAGTAATGGATGCTGGGTTGTACATTACGGGAAAGTCAGGAGTCATCATGCATTTACTGAGACTCACACGAAACAGCCAAAAAGACCCAGAATCTTTCTTTCCTATTTCACTAAATTCAGCATGTGTAAATAAATAACAAATGTGATATAACTTATTTAATAGCCTCATGAGTTAGGGTGTTTCACATCACAAGGAGAAAGTAATTTTTAAATTAAAGTGTTTAAAATCAACTTTGTCAGATCTGGATATGCAAATACTGTGTGTTTTACGTAATAATGATAAAGTAACAGACACTTAAATTTACCGATGGGTTTTTTTATGTTTGGGTTTTTTCAGAATTTTTTTTGCAGTTCTTTGGGTATAACATTATTGTAGTGTTTTTCACTTAGGATGTTCTTTTCAAGGATAGTTACAACATTTTTTCCTCCCATCTTTAAATCTAGAACTACATGTGCTACACCTTTTTCTTTTGATCTGGGAACATATATAGACCTATGACCTTTAAATTAGTATTGCATTCAGTGCAAAAGGGCTCATAGATATGCACAATTTCTATCTTATGGCACATACAGGAATGTTTTTTGCCCTGCTTTATATTTTATAATTGAACACTTTCCTGATGATGCTCTGTGATTCCACACACAGGACGCAGTAGTCAGCAGGCTGCTGTTCAGGCTGGCCTCACTGCATCTGGCATATAGAAGTCTGGAGCAGACCATGAGAGCTCTCACTGTGCTCCCTGTCAGTGCCTTGTTCTTACAGATGAGCCAAGCAGTAGTTCAAATTAATTGTATCCTGATCACTTTTGCCAGGCTATAAAAAGAAGACTAAATCCACATCTTATTCACCTGCATATCTCTCTATGCACACCTGGTTTTTATTTCTTGTAATACAGGACTCAGAATGATCACAAACTGTTCAAATTAGAAAGAAGAGGCAGGGTATATATACTAACCATAGGCTAGGCTAGTAAGAAAGTGCAATGCAGAAGCCATGCTGATTAAGGCTGAACAAGAAATTATTCATTTTCCTTAGAGTTTTCTCCTAACCTTTTTCCTAGGTGTACCTCTGCTGTAGCTTTTAACCACTTGGTCATTTAAAGAATGGCAGCAGTATTTTCAAAAATGCTCTATGGACCTACTGCTGTTGCTGTGGTCGATACAGAAACACTCTTCACTGGGCTCAGGAAGAAGAGAACTAGACCAAAGTATACTCTTTTTATTTTTCTAAGTGTTTGCAGTCAGCCTTTTACTGACCTGCCAATTCTGTGTGGTTAACTGCTGAATGTGTTTCCCCCAGGCACCTTGCATAATAGTTAACAGGACATTAAAGGAGCCCACTTAGAAAAGAAAGCATTTACATACAGGTTGCTTTGAGGATGTTTCTTGCTTGGGATTTTCCTGAGAGTGCCCCAAAATACCTGGAGATAAGAGCTCTGGCAGGACCTAGTGCTCCTGCAATTGTCCATGAGCAAGACATGCCAGGCACCTGCTCCCTCAGGTGAGGCAAGGCTGTGGCCAGTGCTGGCACCCCAGGAGGCTGGGAAGTGTGAGCTACCTCCAGTCCTGTCCTGAAGGACAGTGATTTTGAATTTCACTAGGAAGGCATGCTCCTCTTCACATGGCTGAAAGACAAAAGGTATTGAATCTCTGTGACTATATGCAGTATGTTATTTGGGAAGTTTCAAGGGAAAGCAAGTGGGGTTTTCACTTGCAACCTGCAAGTTTGTACATCAATTTTTACATGAACATATATATTAGCAAGCACTCTGCTGGGACACAGGGCCACCGGGTCTCTTTTTGTAGTTCTTTAGAACAAACATAGGAAAACATAATTTAGTCCTAAATATTAGGCAAAGACATTTAGGTGAACACAGCTTACCCACCTTACTTATCACAAAGTATTTGTCAAGATCTAGCTCCATGAGATGTGGCAGCCATGAAAACTGCAGGCATAGTATTTGCACACTAACATGGCAAACCCATCATGCCCACCTATGCAAAAACTGTACGGTCCATGCAAAACCCATCAGCGACAGCTTTAGATCTTAACAGTAGGAAAGTCTTAAAAGACATACAGAATCTCCAATCTGCCAAGTCACATCCTGTTACTGGAAAGAGACTGCTAAACTAAAGCAAACTTCTTAGTTGAAATCAGATATGCATTTGGCTAAAAAGTAGTTTCAGAGCACAAGATTTCAAAAGTTTGTTGCCTGTGCCCAGAGAAACCTGACCAAATACCCTAAAAATCACTGAGGCATTCCTTTACCTTGGGAGCAGATAGAGTGATCGTGAGTCAAAATAATGGCTTACAGATTTTTTTTCCTGGACTTCTTGTCCGATTGATTTTTAGACCTATGATCTTTTGAAGGGGGGGGGGGATAGGAAGGGAGCCTTGGTAAATTCCTGTGGTGGCATTTCTACCCACATCCTACTCCAGGGCCATTCAAGTTCTCCAGCTGTTGATCAGCTGGTTGAGAAATCAACATGGCTGCAAGGTTTTGAACATGGGTTAAAGTTCTACATATTACTTCTAATGAACCCAGAAGGCAGGTAATTCCTGTGCAGTCCTAAAACTTATGTGTGGTATTATCAGATGAGTCACCACCACATCTGCCTCTGGGACACACAAGATGGAAGCAAAAGGACAAGACAGTAGAAGAGAAACCTCCGTTTAAATACACTGAAAGTTACTTCGAACTCTGAAGAGAAGCAGCCGTCCATCTGTCTTCTGAATATGAAAATGAGGGCAAATTCAGAGTCACTGAGCAGGGGACAGTGGTACAGGCACTAACATAAGCCCCAATTCTTGCTTATCCAGTTCCCTCCTCTCAAGCAGCACATTGTTTTGCTGGTAGAAAGCAAGAAAATGAGGTGACCTGACAGAGGTAAAGTCAGCGGAAGATACAAACTGGCAGTTAAGGTTTTGATCACCAACTCTTAGTGATCCACACAATGACACTTCCTTCAGGTCTTCAAGGAGCTGTTTTAATTTGCATGTCACGCCTAAGGAAATTAAGTTGTGAATCCCTGCGTAAGAATGTGTGGAAGTTGTTGACCTTATGGAGTTTGTAACCTCTTGTGCTAAAGGTGGAGTTGAATGCTGTCTACCTTCAGGGTGTCATTATTCCTAAACTATAACATGAATCTGTGAATTGCAAGATGGTATGATCTACTTACCAGTATAGGGATTAAGAATCTGATATTATTTCTTACCTATGGATCTTTCCTAGACACACACTATTACATTGTAGGTATTGGTGGAGAAAAATTGCTATGGAAATGATTCAGGGACTTCAGAGAGTGAGATAATTTTATTTTTTTCAAATAGAAAATTGTTCACATCTAGTCCATTTACACATACTCAATACATTCCAGCACATCACATTATACCAAAAAATGACAGCTCTAAGGACTTAAAAATGAACAAATCTATTACAGGGTAACAAGTCAATTTACAGAAAAGATTGAGCAGCAAGAAGACTCATAACCAAACCAATGTTTAAATACATTTCTAATACAAGCCAACCATATTAAATTGACCTGTGAACAGTGCACATAGCTTCTCTTTTTTAACCTGCTTCTCTACTCTTATAGCATATGAAGACCTGCTTTAAAGGACTTAAGAGCTTATTGTTTTTTTTAAATCACTTGAATGGTTTATTTCTGGATCTAATCTTGTGAAGTACTTCCTATCAGGCAGGTAACAGTTGCCTGACAGGTTTATTCCACCAAAGAGTGGACACAGAGTTTTGGGTGACACGTGTTATGACTCCATGGCATCCAGAAAATAATCTTTTTAGCAAAGAATATACTTGAGGTCCACAAAATGCTGATGGCCCTCAGCTTCTGTTGACTCTAATACTCCCAAGAACTCAAATCTTTGGAGCTAAAAGGAAAGCATTTTTTTGTATTTGGTCTTATAGCCAAACAAGTATCTGCTGTAAACTGAAATCTCAGGGCTTAAATACAATGCAAAGCAACCTGAACCTTACTGATTGCAGCATGTGTACCTCCCTGGAGTGAGCAGGCTGGACTTTGGTAGAGGAGAGCAATCATGTTTCTCTAATTATTCCCTTCCTCTTCCTCTTTTCATGGCAGCAGCACTAAGGTGAATGGAATTTTTAGTTTGTAAAAGCAAGGTGAAGAAAACCAATCTTTGACTAATATAGCTGGAGGTTTCTGCTGAATTCCCCTTCCATGCAAAGCATCAAGAAGTTTGCTTGCTTTTTTTCTTTTACTAAATACCTTGAAAGCATTATGGCTCTCCATCTTCTACAGTGAACTGACAATGTTCCAGACAGTCTTGTTCTACATGATGACATGAGGCTTCTGGGAACAGTGATAAAATCCATAAATTTTCTCCACAAAACTGGAAATACAAGCAGACCTCAACAGAGAAAATTAAAATACTTATTACTGCTCTGCCTGCTCCTACTTTGTGTCAATCTTAAGTAATAGAGTTAATTTAAAAATCAATTGCTGCAATCCATCTCAATAAAAACGTAACCTGAAGATCAGGTATGCTTAGCTTATGAATGACAGAGGAAAAAAAAAAGTCTGATGGTAATTTTGGAACACATTTAAGGATTCTGCTTTGTCTTCCCACTGTGCTGAAAGACAAATTTTACTATTAAAGCCCTACATGGTATGCTTTAAGGGTATCCCTTCAAGTTATGGTAACTGAGAGCATATTTTTAAAATCTTAATTCATATTTTTTTACTAATTATTTACCAAATCGATAAAGCTATCTACTCTACAATGCACACCATTACCTATACATAGCTGTTAGAAATACACATCTATGTATCAAAACCAGAGACAACATCCAAACTGTAAAATGTAACCAGACACTCTTATCCTCTTTAAACAGTCTAATAAATAAATATAAATACATAAATATTGAGGAACAGTCATATATTCCTTGCACTAATAGAGGTATATTATTTTTCTGTGGTCAATAGTAAAATCTTGCTTGTATCTTTAGAAAGGGTAAATTTCTTACAATACAGCAAAAACTTAAGATAATTCATAAATTGTTGTGACAGGATCCAGTGTGTCTGTTACTCTACAAATACTTACCAAGAGGTTTTTTAGCTTAAAGCTTTTGTAACAGGAATGCTTCTAGCTTTGCCTGTACCCTGGGCAACTGCTGCGAATAAGTACCATTCATGAAAGAATGAGAATATCAGATCTTCTCTGTGCATGAGGTAAAGTGATATTCAAAAAGAAAGTCTAAGTTTCTCCTTGTTTTTTCCACTTTGAAAATCTAGTGCATCATACATACAGTTGGACCTACTACCAATCTTAAATTGCAGAATTATCTCAGATTTAATAAAGTACTTGAATTACACAGAATACTAAAGAGAACCTGCACATACGCTTTGCCAATATCTACAAATACATATACAGAGAAGACAGGAGATATTTCCTTTAAGCAAAAAATATGCGTGTGTTCTTAAGCAGCAAGATAAATGTAGTGTAAATATACCCACAATATTTTCTGTCAGATGTTGACATTAAAAAAAATCAACACTTGTTTTTGCAATCCTTTTGAGGAATTATTCTCAGGGAGATTTTTAACTCATCACACCCTATGATACTACGTGCAATGTATTTTATCAAGCCATTGTAAAGCCTACCCTACAAATACTAATTGGGTTTGGATTATTAGTTTTAAACTATCATTTAGCATATTTTAAAGACCTTAATCTGTGACATACAAAAGCTTTTTTGAGCATTTAACAGTTTTAAGGGTAGTAACCCCTTTGATAATCCCTTACCATTCTACAAAATGTAGGGATTTAATATTGCTTTAACTTGTTCAAAAATACACAGTGCACTAAAACTTGCAAATACCTGGAAAATTAATTTCTGATACTGCATTTACAGTAGTTTTAATGAGTGCTTATATGTAGTTATTAATCAAATGACACTTCCTCCACCAGAAATACAAACTAACCTTGTTTTTATATGATGCTTGCTTTCTGACCTTTCAATAGTTCACCATGGCTTGGCTGTGCCAAAATATTAACAAAACCACATACAGATTCAGATAAACACATGGAAAGTAATGTTGTCTCAAAAATACGAAATTATGTCACCATGTTTCTCAGAAACTCTATTCTCAGCATTAAAATAAAATTCCAAGAAAACAACAGAGCTCTGATTTCCCTTTCACAGACTCTGATGCCCATCAGAGAGGTAAATTCAGTCCTATTCTGTATTCCAGTGATCCTTTAAGCTGATAGTGAAATGACTCACTCTGGTATGTGCAAAAGAACTGCTTAAGCACTTTTGATAAGAAAGCAACATGTTTCCCAAATAAACTGATTTTCAATTTGAATTTCTCCATTTTTCATAATACTGTATCTCCATGATTATGAATATTGCTGAAATCATGTTTATTTGCATGTGGCTGTTTAAATCCTGCTCTGCTGATAGCCTCTAGATAATATAATGCTTTCAAAGTGCTGGTCTTCTGCTTTTTCTTTCACTCTCTGCTCCTCTAAGGTAGACACAAGTTTGTCCCTTTCTTCAACCACTTTCATCATCTCAGTAAAAATTTCAACCTCCTCATTCAGATCCATTTCGTCTTTAAGGCTGTCTGAAAGATCACAAAACAAGAGGTCAAAATCCAGATAACACACTTGTTACACTTTACATTTTAACTGTTGGCATGCAGCTTGAATTAATATTATAGTCAATGAGAAATGAAGTCAATAGCAGTTAATGGTTTTTATGTTACAGTCCAGGGAAAATTTCTCCAGCATTTGGGACATTTAAGGTTGACCATTAAGGCTCCTAAAGGCTAGGGTAGGTCTTTTAGCAAAGCTTTGTCTGGAATGCATAGGAAGAGCACAACTTATTTACAAAAACTGGAGTTTAATTTATAAGATAAAAAGCCCAACCATGAAATGTAGTACCTGTAAGAAAATGAAAAGTGTTTTTCAGAAAATGCATTGAAAACTGCCATGGCTTATAAACTGCATGCTTTGAACATGACAGGCTATTTTTGGGTATTCAAGTGCTATTTAACTCCCCTTCTTCCTGCCCGTGTTCTCTTTTCTAATATCAAATGAAAGGGCAAGCCTAAACTGTAACCCAAAGTATCTGAAAGCAATTCCAAAATACTGTGGTAACCAGTAATGCTACAGCTGGCACAAAACCAGATAACCTCTTTCGTGTTTAAGTGGTTGAAACAATTACTTTCCACTGCTTCCCATCATTGCATGCTAGCTGGATGTTGCTGCCTGCACACACAATTAGTGCAATTACATGTGCGAGTGCTTCTGATCCAGTTCAGTGTAAAACTGGGCAGGTTAGCTTAGCTGTCTTCACTAGAAGTCAGTTGAGAAGACCTCTCATGTTGCATTTTTCTGGCTGAACTGCCCTTGCAGAAGAGAAGTGGAGGAAGAGCCTTAGCAACTCTGGTCCTCTGGAAGCAAACAGGTGTGTACGGGCATGGCCTCTCACTGTGGCCTGGAACATATACTTCCCTTTGACTTACCATCAATGGCCATCTTCTCTCTCAGTTTTTGTTCCAACCTGCTTTGGTGGTCTTCCAATTCTAGCTCTTGGGCTCTAGGTACAACAAAAAGTACATTAAAAGAGCTTTTTTCCAATAAAGACATAAACGTTAATATTCAACCAAGAGATTCTGTGTTCTGTTTTCCAGTGTTTTCTCCTCTTGGGCAATCAAGGCTAAAAAGTTTGCCCATGCCTACATTGCCACAGCAATGCCAGATGTACCACTACCACCTTTTGCATTATATATCAGATTAAGCTCTCTCATACACTGCAACACTTCATGCTTTAGCCAGCTGTGCTTTGTTGGTGGCACCCACAACGTAATTCTGGACAGGACTGAATGATCCCCCCGACATGAAGGGCCCTGGCAGGCTCTCTGCACAGGAATGGGTCCTGAGGGAAGGGAATTAACACATGTGAACGCATCCAGACAACATTTTGTGTTCTGCAGTGACAAAAGCAGCCTGCTTTTGCTTTTGTAACTGCTTTTCCAGACGGTGTGAGCAGGAAGCATTACTACTGCAACACACAATGACAATTGAACAGGAAAGAAGAGGTTTGGCCCCGACAGCATCAGCTGGGGAGAAATTGGGGTGCAGCTGGAACTAATGGTTGGTCTGCATTACTGCCCACAGCACTGGGTGCTGAGTGATATGGAAATGATAAATGGCAACAAGCAGCCTGCACTGATGTGAAATCCAGGGGTGAGTAATAACTCTCATCGCCTTCCCACATGGTCCAGAAATCCTGGAGAAAATAGCTGAGAGTCACCTCCGCTTATCTGTTGAGCACGTTTCCAAGGAGGTGAGGTGAGGCAACAGAGCTACAGCCTATATTGTTTCCATCAACTACAGTGGCATCTGAGGCAGTTTTTATTTGCTTGGGGCATCTGCTTGCTTCATTGCTGTAGTGAATTCCTAGATCTTTTCCCCTATGTCCAATGAAACCTGAGATAAATTTGTCAGACTGCTTTTCTTTCACAGAAGAAAGTTCATTAGACGCACATTATGTAAATGCAGAGCGTCTACATGCTATATTGTTTCAAAGCATGTTATAGGATTGAAATGAATGAACCCCTGTGAGAGGGAAAGACAAGGAAGGCTCAACTAAAAATCTGTGTTCAAAACAGATTGTAGCTACTCTGGGTACATTTATTCCACAACAGTCTCAAACTGCAGCACACAACAGGGTGTTCAGGTGTATTTTCAGTACACTCTTCCTCTCTCCCCTCCCCATCTTTAGTACTAATGTTTGTCCTCACTTACATAATCAGGAGCTCAGACTCATAACGCATTAATTTATTCTTCTCCAGGACCAGCTCAAACCATTCATGTAGCATCTGAGTTTCATCCTTTGTGCCTGAATCTGTTTAAAATAAAAGGCTTAAGTGTGCATTACCAGCTTTCTTTCCAACGCACTCACCACTTAAGTTCATGTTAAATAGTCCTCATTAGTAAGCCTACGTGAGTTCAAATGTAGATTTTTTTTGCTGTGTGTAACTTACATCAGTAAAGTCTGGGTATAACAGGTATAACATTCTTGTCTACCTTTGCTTGAATGATGTAGTTTATTGCATATGTTGTAGTTAAAGATGCATTAGACTTAAAACCACTTCTGTTCAGGCAGTTAAGATTTTCCTTTCAAGACTTTCTTTTATTAATGGGCACTTTTTCTTTTTCTTACTTCTGCCTTTGACAACATAATTCCTCTGCTGATACTGGACTCCAGCAGCTGAACTATATGTATAAATACTTATATATATATATAATAATCCCATTAATGCAACCGGACTTCAGGATGTACATCCTGGCAAGTATCAACTTAGTCCCTGTTTCCAGTGAGTGGGCATCAGACACACAATCAAATCCACAAGTTTCTGATCATTTTCCAGCTGGCCTCTAAATCTGCATCTGCTTTGAATGACAGGAAAGGCTGTGGGACAGGGTAACTCTTCTATTACTGCATGGTTTTGTAACACTTTGGGCCAGTGCATCGCTGTTAGGCACTATACAGACGTGAAACATGAGATGGTGTCGTGGTTGAAGCCCAGCCGGTAACTCAGAACCATGCAGCTGCTCACTCATTGCCCTCCTTCTACCTTCCCCTGCTCCCAGAGGGATGGGGAGGAGAATTGAAAGAATATAACTCCCGTGGGTTGAGATAAGAACAGTCCAGTAACTAAGGTATAACACAAACCACTACTGCTGCCACCAATAATAATAATGATAAGGAAAATAACAAGGGAAGAGAATACAACCGCTCACCACCTTCTGATCAATACCCAGCCCAACCCGAACAGTGATCTGGGGCTTCCGGGTAACTGCCCCGTTTATTTACTGGGTATGACGTGCTGTGGTATGGAATATCTCTTTGGCTAGTTTGGATCAGAGATTCACCCTCTCCTTCAGCAGTTTCTGCAACTTGTCGTCCAGGACTCCATACAGCTGCCTTCCATCTCCGATGCTTTCCCACAATACGGCAGGACCCATCAGTAAACAAGGCATACTGCTTTTCACTTTCTGACAGTTTATTATATGATGGGGCCTCTACAGCACGCATCACCTCCTCCTCTAATGACATTCCGAAATCTTTGCCCTCTGGCCAGTCCATGATGACTTCTAGAATGCCTGGACGACTGAGATTTCCTATTCGAGTTCGTTGTGTTATTAGTGCAGCCCATTTACTCCATGTAGCATCAGTTGCATGATGTGTAGAGGAGACCCTGCCTTTGAACATCCAGCCCAGCACGGGCAACCGGGGTGCCAGGAGGAGCTGTGCTTCAGTGCCAATCACTTCCGAAGCAGCTCGAACCCCTTCATAGGCTGCCAGTATCTCTTTCTCAGTTGGGGTATAGCTGGCCTCAGATCCTTTGTATCCCCGACTCCAAAAGCCGAGGGGTCGACCTCGAGTCTCCCCTGGAGCTTTCTGCCAGAGGCTCCAGGTAGGACCGTTCTCCCCAGCTGCAGTGTACAGCACATTTTTTACATCTGGCCCGGTCCGGACTGGTCCAAGGGCTACTGCATGAACTATCTCGCATTTAATTTGCTCAAAGGCTTGTTGCTGCTCAAGGCCCCATTTAAAATCATTCTTCTTCTGGGTCACATGATAGAGAGGGCTTACAATCGAACTGTAATTTGGGATGTGCATTCTCCAGAACCCCACAGCACCCAAGGAAGCTTGCGTTTCTTTCTTATTAGTTGGTGGAGACATTGCTGTTATCTTGTTGATCACATCTGTGGGGATCTGTCTATGTCCATCTTGCCATTTTATTCCCCAAAATTGAATCTCCTGTGCTAGTCCATTGACCTTACTCCGTTTTATGGCAAAACCGGCTTTCAGCAGGATTTGGATTATTTTCCTCCCTTTCTCAAAGACTTCTTCCGCTGTATCGCCCCACACAATAATGTCATCAATGTATTGCAGGTGTTCTGGAGCTTGCCCCTGTTCCAGTGCAGTCTGGATCAGTCCACGGCAAATGGTAGGGCTGTGTTTCCACCCCTGGGGCAGTCGGTTCCAAGTGCACTGGACACCCCTCCAAGTAAAAGCAAACTGTGGCCTGCACTCTGCTGCCAAAGGAATTGAGAAAAATGCATTGGCAATATCAATCGTGGCATACCACTTGGCTGCCTTTGACTCTAGTTCATACTGAAGTTCTAGCATGTCCGGTACGGCAGCACTCAATGGTGGTGTGACTTCATTCAGGCCACGATAGTCTACTATTAGTCTCCACTCTCTGTTAGACTTTTGCACTGGCCATATGGGGCTACTGAAGGGTGAGCAGGTCCTGCTGATCACTCCTTGCTGATCACCTTATGCATGGGAATCAGGGAGTCTCGGTTGGTGCAATATTGCCACCCATGCACTGTTGTGTTCACGATTGGCACTTGTTGTTCTTTGACCTTTGGCAACCCCACAACAGAAGGATCCTCTGAGAGACCAGGCAAGGTGGACAGCTGCTTAATTTCCTCTGTCTCCAAAGCAGCAACACCAAAAGCCTATCAGTACCCTTTTGGGTCTTTGAAGTACCCTCTCCTGCTCCTGAGGTCGTCTATGCCAAGGATGCATGGATCCTCTGGACCAGTCACATTAGGGTGCTTTTGCCACTCCTTCCCAGTCAGGCTGATTTCAGCCTTCAGTACAGTCAACTCTTGGGGTCCTCCTGTCACTCCAGAAATATAAATGGGTTCCACCCCTTGATAGCTTGATGGCATCAGGGTACACTGTGCACCAGTATCTACTAGAGCCTTACACTCCTGTGGGACTGATGTGCCAGGCCATCTGATCCACACAGTCCAGTAAATCCAATTGTTCCCTACCTCCACCTGGCTGGAGGCAGGGCCCCTCGAATAGCGATCACAATATTGGTCACTTACATCTTGTAGACAGGGATTAGGATTCTTTGTCACAGGATCTGGAGTAAAATCAACTCTTCCACTCCATCTGGGAACCTGCTCACCAGAGACTGAAGCTGCAGCTTTCATGGGATGATCATCCTTGACCTTTGCTCTCCTCTTCAATTCACGCACGCATACCTCTGCAGCTGAGGTAGGTTTTCCATCCCACTTTCTCATGTCTTCTCCGTGATCCTGCAGGTAAAACCATAGGGTGGCCTGTGGCCTGTACCTCCTATATCTTCTCTCTCGAGCAGTAGGGCACCTTTTGTTTATAGCTGAGACAGGGGCTGGTACACATAAGGAACTGGACAGATCAAATAGATCACCTCTCAATTGTTTTAACTCCTGGGACGGTTTTTCCACAGCTGAAATGTCGGAAGGGGTGAGATTGTCTTCGAACTCTTGGAGTTGATGAATCAGTTCATCCACTGTCGGTGGTGCTACATCATACCAGGTTATTGATGCCAATGAATGTGCATATAATGGTGGTGCACTCCATGTAAATTTCTGCCACATGGGTCATGTACATTCAACTTCATTTGGATCTATGGATGTATTCCCAGCATCCAGCCTACAATAGATCATCTCTAGAATGGCTGATTTCCTCAGAGATTGGATGCCTTTCTCTATCATGATCCAGTTGGCCGAACGACTCATAACATCATCCTTGTAGAGAAACCTTACCTTCACAGCTGCCAAGAGCCACCTCCAGAGGCTGAGGGACTGTTTCTCTCTTGCAATTGCTTTGTCAATTCCCCCTTCCCTAGCAAGTGATCCCAGCCGCTTGGCTTCCCCACCTTCTAGTTCATGACCATCGGCCCCATTGTCCCAGCATCGGAGCAACCAGGTGATGATGTGCTCCCCTGGATGATGGGTGAAATCTTTTTGCATATTCCGTATCTCAGTTGAGATCTGGGGTCGAGAAGTCACTTCTTCCTCTTCCTCTGATTCACATAATGACTTTTGTTCAGATGCTGTCCCATGAAATAAGTGCACTGGTTCTTTATCTTCACTGTATGGGTTGCTCTTTGTGCCTCTTGTTTGCTTTTCCCCTTGTGTACAGGGGCAACTGATATTGGCATGAATTGGACCTTTGGTTTAGCTGCAGTGACTATCACTGTGGTTGGAGTGGCTGCAGTATCTGTTGTTGGGGTTGGTGCAGCCGCTATGCTTGGGGGTTGAGTAGCACCAGCAGCTGCATTGTTGGAGTCTGCTGTACTTGTCGCTGGGGTTAGTGTAGTTGCTGTACTTGGAGTAGCTGCATTGTCTGTTGCAGTCAGAGTTTGAGTAGCTGCTGTACTTGTCAGTAGGGTTGGTGTAGCTGTTGTACTTGGAGTTGCAGTAGCTGCATTGTCTGTTGCTTTGCAACAGATGATACAGAAACATCTTTTTCCCTTTGAAGATGTTGGATAGTGTTGAACAGGGCTCTGTAAGCGTAGGCTACATACATGAGCACGTTGCCATGATTTGTCCCTCTCTGGTACATCCAGAATGACCACACACCTTATTTAAGTGTTTTACTAATTCTTCTGGATTTTGCAGTTGTTCGATAGTGAAATTCCAAAATACTGGAGGGGCCCACTGACCTAGATACTTGCCCATACTATCCCACACACCCTGCCACTCATGGCTGTCCAGCCTCAGGGAAAATCTCTTGGTCCTCCTGTATCTTCATCTAACCCTAGACAAGACCCAAACCCGATTCTGCTTAACTTTCAAGATCAGATTAAATGGTCATGGGTAAAACACACTCTGTGCGGGTGCCAACATGGTGATCCCCATCACAATCAGCAGGCAGGTCTCAAGGGTACTCTAAGGCCATTCAAAACTATCAGAACTCTCAAATGATGCTCTAAATAGTCCGGTGGGGGAGCTGGGATGTAAAGAAATGTCTCCTTCATAGGTTGACCACCCAAGGGGGGAAAAAAAGATGTGTAATTGCTAAACACTTCCATTATATACCTCCCGAAG